AGCAACAAATTCGTTTCCAAGTCCTTCTAAGTACCGAGAATATTTAAAGGGGAAAATTCTTACGCTTCGCAAACCTATGATGAGGTCTTCTAGGTGCATGCTACAATAGTTTGTGTGTTTTTCTTTTCTGAAAAAAGAGGATCTAGATTTTATTTTGTTTGTTATTCTAGATTGTCAAACTTGAGATGCACCAATAAAAATTTGAGGAAAAATAATTAAAACCAAGCTATAAAATCCTTTATAAACTCTTTGAAAATACTTTTTACATTAATAATTTTATTTATCATAGTTGTTTGACTAAAAAATTGAGCTTTGAATATATATATATATATATATATATTCACTCCCTTAATGAACATCCGCTACCCTTCTAAATTTCACAAACAATAAAAGATACTAATAAAATATTACATATCTTATTAAGGAGTCCCGAGATCCATAACAGGGACGGCATAGTTTCTTTGCTTGATTTTAATTTGAGTACCTTTAAGACTCTAGAATATCGATGCCAGCTGATATGTAGATGGGAAAATGGCTTTTGAAAATAGCTTCATATATATAATGGAAAACGTAGATTTTAGCTTTTAAGATGTCATGAGTAAGAATGTGACAATTGATTGTTTAATCAATTGATTGAGGTGTTTAAGAGTATATATACGAAATTTTGTCTCCAAATATTCCTCCTGATAGACGAAAAAAATGGTAAGAAATGTCTTAGCAATTAGTTGAGGCATAAAGTTTGATATATAGAAGACAAGTATATTATTTGGCACATATTATTCAACATTATATTCATTTAGAGCATATAAAGATGCCAATGTTTCCACTAAGGAGAGAAATTTGTGTTAATCCTAGCTAGCGTCATTAATAATTGACTTGAACTGAGAAAACATGCTAGAACAAAGGAAATGGAATCATATCCTTCCTTCCTAATAATTGAGCATAAAACTCAAAATGTCAGATGCAAATCAAAGTAGTATAGTATTGTTGGATAGAAAATTCATTTATTCCACAAGATAAACTTTAATTATTACAAGCCGTTCATTCTTTATATATGCTTAGAGAAATTAAACCTAGCTACTTGACACTTTTGAACACTTATTTAAGCAAAATATGCACTCATTCATTTCATTTGTAGATACCTTGAAATTATGAAGGTATATGCGCAAAAGATAAGATTTATGAGCAACTCATGTAGCTAGCACTGCTTGTTATCATCCATATCAATATCAATACTATTTGTTATATCAATACCCTTCAACTTCTGTAGGTGTATATATATATATAGACACATTCATGTATTTCATAAGAGCATGTATTCATCTACATATGTAAATGCTCGGATGGATCCACCAGAAAAACTTGATGGAAATTCCTGGAATATGAATCTTAAATCCGAAAGAGATAAGTAATTAAGTAGCCAACCAGACAAAAGGGAAGGAATGGTGGGGTAAGGAGAGACTGAAAGGTTTTTCTTTCCCTTTATTGTTAGTATTGCTACACGTGATATAGAATGGGAATATATACTATGCTCTCATTTATTGAGTATATACTAGCATATATCCCACATGTTGTCACGAGGTGAGCTATACAATATTCTTATGTATTTATTCATATAAAATTTAAAATTTAAAATTTAAAAAAATGTATTTAAAAGTATCACGTGAAATTTTTTTTTAAAAAAAAGAACTAAAACATATATTTCATAATTTGTCTGCAGGTTAGCTAAACAAAAAGTCTACAAAGTTGAGTAATATAATATTGTTAATTAGATATTGTTTGATATAAACATGTATTTTATTTAAAATATGTACAATAACTAATAATTAAAATAATAATGTGGTATTTTTTAAAATTTTAGATGATTAATTTTTACCATATATTATTCATCCGTAATTTGTTAATGAAACGAGAGAGACCACCCAAAACAAAACGATAAAAAAAACTTTGTCAAATCGAGAATTTGACAAAGAAAATAAAGATAAAATTACGCACGATAAAAATTAAATTATCAAAACAAAGTAAAGATCATAAAAATAGATCAAAATAAATAAAAAACTTGCACTAAAAGAAAAAAGAAAAAAAAACTTATAAACAATAAGACTAAAAAAAAAATTCATTATGCATAAGGCAAGAACAAAATTAAAACATTATAAAATTGTAATGACCAAAATTAAAAAAATTAATAAAATAAGAAGCAAAGCGAGAAAATATTTTTTACTAAAAAAAACAAACTTAGAATAGTGAAAATGTATTTAATTTTAGTATAGAATGAATAATAATCAAATATAATAAAAATTTAATGATCAAAATTAATGAAATATCGAAGAAACAAAATCAAAATATAACAAAAATTTTTACTAAAAGTAAAAAATAGTTCCTTGTAGGGACAAAATCAAATATAATAAAAATTTAGTGATCAAAATAAAAAACAATTACAAAATATGGACTAAAACAAAAAAAAAATTCTACTGAATTTAATGGCGAAAACAAAGAAAAAATCACAAAATGGGAATTATAATAGAAAGTAAAAGTTTCATTAAAAGCAAAAAAAAAAAAAAAAAAAAAAAAAAGCTTAGGATAGTAAACTTTATTTAGTTTTAATAGTGTAAGGATAAAAATTAAACATGATAAAACTTTAATGACCAAAATAAAAAAGATTAGTAAAACGGGACCAAAATAAAAAACAATTTCCTTAAAAGCTTGGAAGGAAGCAAAAAAAAAAAAAAAAAAAGAAGTGTGGAAGCCAGCAATCCAGGAAAAAAAAAAAAAAAGTAAATTAATAGTAGAATATTATAGTTGTTTTCTGTTTTGTTTTAAATGAATACTCTTGAATTTTCCACAGAATTTGCTTTTGTATGCTTTCTATATATATACACCATTTTATTATAGGTTAATTAAGTACTTTCGTCTTTTATCTAATTTTATTGTATCAAATGCCATACATCAACGGTCTATGCATCGAGGTATAAGAAACTTACATGTATACAAAATCAACAAATAAAAAAAAAAAAAAAGCTCAATTTTGAATATTAAAAAATTAAATTAAAATTATAGGGAAAAGATTGCATATTTCACCTAACAATTTTAATTTATTTTGTTTAAAATTATTTAATTTTTAAAAATATCAATTTAATTTATAATTTTGGAAACCCTTCCTTTTTCTCTCAATTAGCTAGAGGGAAAAAGTGTACGGTTTACCCAATAAACTTAGGTGTTATTTGGTAATCGGGAATAAAGCGGTGAGAATATGAATGAAAGTTTTATTCCTACATTGTAGTCTGTTTGGTTAAAAAGAATGAAGTGGAAATGAGAATGAAAATTTACACACAACGCATTACCACATAAGGAATGAGAATAATTTTTTTTAAAAAAAAATAATATATTATATTTATTTATTGGCTATTAACTACTTTAACCACCACCACCACCACCACAACCACCATCACCACCATTATAATCACAACCACCATCATCACTATCGCAACCACCATCACCACTACCGCAATCACTACCACCGCTGCTCGTCGTTGCCACTACCACTACCACAATAAGAAACCATCATTATCATCACCACAATCACCACTATCACCTTTATTATTTTTACAACAATTATAGTTTAATAAAATTATTTTTTTAATCATTATTTTTATTTGAATAAAAAATCAGATATTAAAAAATTTAAATTGAATTCGATTTCTTATTAGTATTCCAAACACATTATAGAAATACAAATACCATTTTGATTCTTTAATTTTCATTTCGATTCCTATATTTTCATTCTCATCACTCTATTCATGATTACCAAGCGATACCTTAATTTAATTTAAAATTTTAAATAAGCCATGCAAACTTTTTTTTCCAATTAAAGTAAAAAATGATGATACTTTACCCACTAATTTTAATATAATTTCTAATTGAAAAGGACTTAATTATTTCAGTAAATTTTATTTCTTTTCGTTAATATTTAAATTAGTGTTTTTTCCCTTTCCTTTTACAATTTGATCAGTTTTCAAATTTTCATTTATAAATTTTTACACACGTACGAGGCAGAGAACTTTGACATCCAATGTAGCAAAATTAGATAAAAGGACAAACTTTTCAACAGAATTTACGGTAAGAAGATAGAAAAAAAAATTGAAAAGTAACAAAATGCATAAAAATAGAAAATGCAAGCTCAAAAGGTGGTATATTACGTATGACCCTAATAAATTTCGACAAGCGACGCCCAGCAGATAAAACGGAGGGAGAGAGAGAGAGAGAGAGAGAGACAAAATACAGTCGAGAAAGAGAGAGAGAGAAAAAAAAAAAAAAGCACGAAAAGACGGATCATTTTCTCAGTCCAAACAAATTGCATATTACATAAATAAATATTAATTTCGATGATTTGACTCAGCTGGGGACCCTTTCTTTTGTCCTCTAAAATCACCGCTCATACCACCCTCTCAGTCTCTATTTATACACCCCTGCCTCCTCTGTCAGTCCCAACTTACCTTCTCCTCTTCTTTGTTTTCTCATCAACACAAAACACCTTCCTCTCTCTGTTCTCATCAAGCATTTTATCGAAACAGCTCTCTCTAGCCAACATCATTAATGGCGTGTTTGGAGGTCTGTAAGGAGGTTAGTTGAAAGTTTCTACCTATTTTCTTCGATCTCCTCATAAATATTTTTTTCATAAGCTCTTCGATCTTCTTCTTCCTTCTTTTTTTAAGATCCTCTTCATAGGTCCTAACCACACAAAGATGAACTTAAAAGCTTTCCCTTCTAATTCTCCCAGTTCTTGGCTAGTTTAAACAAAAGTGCAACATAATATCATAGAAACAAGAAAAATGGGGATCACCAATATATATATGGTAGCTAGCTTACTAGCTGTTTAATTAATATTTATGCAAAACATGAAGCATAGAAATTATAGTGTTGCGTGGCTATAATTAATTTAATATTAGTAGTTTCTTTTTTCTAAGATGAATTTACGAGCTGTATTTACAATGGGGTGAAAAATGTACATACGCAGAGTAAGTTCAAAGAAGGACAAGAAGAATGCACTTTTGATGGAACAGTTGATTGGCATGGTCGTCCTGCTATCAAAGCCAAATCTGGACAATGGGCTGCTGGAATTATTATACTCTGTAAGCTCAAATCCTAACTAACACAATCTAATATAGAACAAGCCAAGAATAATATGATCTCAACAAGAATATTGCTTGGTTGGTCTTTTCGTCACTAATATTTTCTAGTTCCTCTTTTTTTTCTAAAGACGACCAGTTGCTGTGTCAATTACTCTAAACTGTCACTGTCACAGATACAGTATATGTTATTTTCTGGCTAGATCTTAATATGGGCCCAAAATCCAAACTCTCCTATGATTATGGGTGCATGTTGGGTATATGGATATCACCACATCTATCCGATAACTATTGCTTACTCCTAACGCACGCACTAGGGAATTTATCCAAAGATCCATCCAAATATATATATATATATATATATATTCAAGCCCTCCTTTTGATTTTACCAAATATTTTGGAAAAAGGAAGAGAGATGGGTTGTTAAGAATGATAAGTAGATGCTCTTTTCTTCTTGACTAGCAGTATGCATTTTCAGTCTTCAAAAAGATGAGAAAGATAAATGAAAGAACGTGTAAGAATGAGCATTGAATAGAAAAACAAGTGTTAAACTGTGGTTACATGCTGGTCTTCAGGCAGCCAATAAAAATGTAAGCCACAAAACACAGGATAGAGATAGATAGAAACAAGAAAAACCCTCTAGAGTTTTAGAGAGAGACAGAGACAGGAAGGGATGGAACTCTTTTCTGGGTTAGCCAGTTTAGCCACCAACTTCTAGCACTACTAGACGACACCATGGAAAGAAGGGGTGGGGAAAGTATGCATTAAGTCTTTCCTGACACGTAAGTATGTCTAGTTCTTTGCATGGTCTGGGTTTCAGCCACGTGTCATTTAGCACCCCAAAAATCTGATCGTTTTAGTTTTTTTTTTTTTTCCTTCAAATTAGTTTGGTAAGATAAGTCCTTTCGTATTTGTAAAATATATTTTCACTATACATGTTGCATGCCTATGCCTATTATGGCCATGCACATGCACATGCACATGAGTGTATCATCATAAACAAAAGAAACTTCTGTTGCGCATAGCACCTGCTTAATAAATTAATTTCATAATATAGCCTATGCTACCGGTACTTCAGTCAGGTTCTTATAAGATCTGGAGTATTAATGCGACTGATGATTTTTCATAATTAGTTCTCCTTTAAATTTTAATCCATACTTTTTAATTTTATTTTTTGATAATTTTTTTTATCTATACTATATATTTTAAGTACGTATAAAGTAGATGTAATTTTGGCAAACGATTGTAAGCTAATAATTAATCACGTTAATTTATACTAACATAAATTTCAAGGGTGACTATTATATTAATAATAATTATAATGAAAACATTAGCCAGGTTATAGATCATAGTTTGTTTAGGTCAGCCAACTAAAGCCTTGTCATCATCTTATATAATAAAAAACTAGCAAATAATCACTTTTGTCATCTAAGTACAGAGATCATACATAATAATATACACTCAAAGAGTAGAAAAAATGTAGATAATAAAAGGGAGAGAGATAAAGCGAAGGGCAATTATCTTTTTCTCTGGGTTTACACCCATTTATAAAAAGTTAAAACTCCCACTAGTTGTCCAGTGGAATTAAAATTCAATATAGTAGTGGAAGAAGCAGGTAAGAAGCTTCTGACGACTAAATAATGCAGTTGGATGGGAAATACGTGGTTGAAGTCGCTATGACATTAATTTTTGTGGCGTTCTTTGCCACTCTTTTTAAAAAAGTAGGTGCAAAAACATCAAGTTCTAGCGTACTTGTCATGTTGCTAAATATGAACTTCCCCAGCACGTGAATGGCGAAAGAGGTGTGTGAGGATATACAATGGGAAATTAACGATTGGTACCGTTAAATTCAGTTGCAGGAAGAGCCACATGACAAGACGATATTGTTGATGTGACCTTTTGATCTTCGACATTGATCGATTCTAGTCACACAATTTTGTTTTTAGGTACACCACTCTTTTTGTCGATCATCACCTTGGTGAGATATAAGTAGTGCGGGTGCCTGGGATGTATACCTGTTTTTCTTTAGCTAGGGAGGTCCATTTGGCCCAATTATCCTATCCAAATCCCACTGAAAGAGAACAAAACAACAAAGCAGAAGAAATTAGAAACGGAAACAAAGTATCCAATCCAATCTTTTTCCTTAATTTTATTAAAATCTCTTTAGAAGGAAAAACTACATTTGCTGTAATCCTGTTTGTTTGAGTAAAAAATATAGGTACTCTGCCCAAAAGTTGAGCAAGAAAACGAAGCTCTCATTCCATGTCAAGCAACTAATTCAATCTACACGATTAAATTTTAGGTGAAGTTTTTTTATGAGTAGCAAAAATGTTTTTCAAAATTTGTGATTGTGATTATTGTTTTTTTTTTTTTCTTTTCAAGAGTTTTCTGTTTCTATTTTTAAAACTTTTGAAAACAGAACAGAAAAACAGAGACCACATATGATATCAAACGCCCCAAAATTAATTAGCCGTTACAGGTTCTTTCTTTTACTTTCTGCAGAAATGGAAATAATGAAGGAAATATACAAACCTGCATGATACTGTATAGAATTTTGCTATATCGCATAACCTTAATCCATTCTTAACACACGATCAAAGTTCACTCTAATTACCTTGTTGGACAATAGAAATGTCAGCAATCCATACAAATGTTTCCACTCGATGTTATTAATGATTAATCCATCAAAATTGTCATTGAAGCAAACGTTTAAAATTTTGTACTTGTATTTATCCGGTTTAGAAATCCCTACAAAATAAAGCCTCTAAACCCGGATTTGTTTTTTTGTTTCTGTTCAATGAATCTCAGTGAATCAAGGTCTAGCAACACTTGCATTCTTTGGTGTTGGTGTGAACTTGGTTCTGTTCCTGACAAGGGTTTTGCAACAAAGCAATGCCGATGCTGCTAATAACGTTAGCAAATGGACCGGAACGGTTTACATCTTCTCTCTTGTTGGTGCTTTCCTCAGCGATTCCTACTGGGGAAGATACAAAACTTGTGCAATTTTTCAGGTCATCTTTGTCATAGTAAGTAACTTTTGGCTCTGAATCTTTTCTGCATTTTGCATCATAGTATAACTTGGCATATTTCGCCTCAAAATTTACAGCAAGATTTTTACAGTAAGCTTTTAATCTATCAAATTATACATGTAATTAATGGATTGAACTTCAGGGAGTCTGCCTCCAAAAACAGGTTCTAATTGCTTTTTTTGTGTTTTTAACTGGCAGGGTCTGGTAATACTATCACTCTCATCATACCTTTTCTTAATCAGACCAAAAGGATGTGGGGATGAGCATACTCCATGTGGGTCCCATTCAAGCATGGAAGTTTCACTGTTTTACCTCTCCATTTACCTCATTGCTCTAGGAAATGGAGGGTATCAACCTAACATTGCTACATTTGGGGCTGATCAGTTTGATGAAGAGGACCCCAGGGAAGGGCATTCAAAGGTTGCATTTTTTAGCTACTTCTACCTGGCCTTGAACCTTGGCTCCCTCTTTTCCAACACCATATTGGGGTATTTTGAGGATGAAGGGATGTGGGCACTAGGATTCTGGGCCTCTGCAGGTTCTGCCTTTGCAGCACTGATTTTGTTTCTAGGAGGAACAGCTAGATACCGGCACTTCAAACCAAGTGGTAACCCTCTCTCCAGGTTCTGCCAAGTCATCGTCGCCGCAATGAAGAAATGGAGGGTCGAGATGCAACCAGATGGAGAGGAGGAGCTGTACAATGTCGATGCAAAAGATTGCTCGATGAATGGCAACAGAAAGATTCTCCACACTGACGGATTCAAGTAAGTATCAGAGAATTGTCAGAGACTCAAAACTTAATTTTTCCAAAGTACACAGAACTGATAATCCTTAACTAAATTCAGCATCCTAAAAAAATTTAGATAGTTTGGATGGCTTGGCCTCTATTATCCATTATGTATAGGAATCATTTTTCTCCAGCTTATCGGGATTAGAACAAACTGGGTTTCTTGGATTCCATGAAGCTCAAAAACAATGCTAACTCGTGTTCATCCACGTATTTTAGGTTCTTGGATAGAGCAGCTTTTATCTCTTCAAGAGATATTGATGATCAAAAGCGGGGCTGTCGCAACCCATGGCGTCTCTGCCCAATTACACAAATAGAAGAAGTTAAATGCGTTCTGAGATTACTCCCAATTTGGCTCTGCACCATAATCTATTCAGTGGTTTTCACACAGATGGCATCTCTGTTTGTAGAACAGGGTGCTGCAATGAAAACTACCATATCGAACTTCAGAATCCCTCCAGCCAGCATGTCTAGCTTTGATATTCTCAGTGTCGCATTTTTCATTTTCCTATATCGGCGAGTTCTTGATCCACTTGTGAGCAGATTTAAAAAGACAGGTTCAAAGGGACTAACTGAACTTCAAAGAATGGGTGTTGGCCTTGTGATAGCAATAATAGCAATGATTTCGGCTGGGCTTGTGGAGTGCTATAGACTCAAGTATGCAAGAAAAGACTGCAAACGCTGTGAAGGCTCAAGCTCCTTGAGCATCTTCTGGCAAGTTCCTCAGTATGCACTTATTGGAGCTTCTGAAGTTTTCATGTACGTTGGTCAGCTGGAATTCTTTAATGCACAAACTCCTGATAGATTAAAGAGCTTCGGAAGTGCGCTTTGTATGACATCTATCTCACTTGGGAATTACGTTAGTAGCTTGCTTGTGACTATGGTTATGAAGATCTCGACTGAGGATCACATGCCCGGATGGATCCCGGGAAATCTTAACAAAGGTCACCTAGATAGGTTTTACTTCCTCTTGGCAGCCTTGACAACTATAGACTTAGTTGTGTATATGGCATGTGCTAGGTGGTACAAGTCTATCAAGCTGGAAGGCAAATGCGAGGAGAATGATAAGCAAGAAAACTTCAGAGTCTGATGTCCTTAATAAAATGTCCTACAGAAAAATGATGATGCCTATGGTACCAGCATATATATTTATATAGATATATATATATAGAAATAAGAGGGAGGGAATGGGGTGACCGTTAACATTTTGCAGAAAGCTTCTGGATAAAGAAAGTTATGTGGTATAGGAGAGTACATAACCTATTTGCTGAACTCCCATGACACCCATTTGTTTCAGTTTCTGCAACACCTAACTCCCATGTTCACTCTGTTTCTGAAGTTGGGTCGAGTGGGCAGCTTTTGGTTCAAGTTACCTCATTCTAATTTGTTGGCTCTATTGCAAGCCATATGGAATTTTATATAAAATGAGTTTAGCTTAATGGCTCTCTTGCTAGAATGATTTCCTATTATATGTGAAGTCGCCATTTTTGACAATAACAGGAGCAGAATATCTTCTCTTCAAATCTGCACTTCTAGACCTTCACTGCAGCCCCTTCACGCAAACTAACTGGACTTGCACTACAAAGTTATCCTTCTTGGAACAGATAAAACAATGTAGTTCCTACTTAATTCCCTAATAATCCTAGACCAATTTTCTCATGCTCTTACAAGCATTGATTCTATAATTACAACAACCAATAGACTTGGACTCCGAATTAAAACCGAGATGCCAACCAAGTGAAACGTTTTTGAAACTGCTCATAAGACTGATAAAGCTGGGAAAGCATTGTAAAATCCACAGGCCAGTTTTCATTCGGCCTCCTAGATTTCAACTGTAGATTGGTTTTGAGGGAGCAAGAACAGTCAGGAGGATCTGAAATGCCATCTAAATAGTTAAAAGATTGAGTCCTATGTTCTGTTATACAGTGGATGATGAGTCCGATGATTAGTCCGGTGACGGCAGTACAATTAGTTGTCACAACTTCTTTCACTGTCGGCTGTAAACAGTTATACTTTAATGGGGATTCTATGATGAGGTTATAAAACGGTACAGAAGCTGGAGTTACGAGAGTTAAAGCTTCAAAGACGTCTCGGTGGTTCTTAATTCTGAGAGCTTTTATATGCATTCATGGTCCAGAGAAATTCTTGGGAAAAAAAAAAAAAAAAAAACAGAGAGGGGATGATAGAACCCTTCTTTTTATCCCTATTTATTCCCAGTAAGAATATTCTCCAATCAACTTAGGCATCAAACCAAACTAAATCTATTTTTTGAACACTCTTAAGAATGCATCCTCAACATGCAGCCAGACTACACGTCATCCGAGACTATATTCATTCTCGAGCGCCTTTTAAAAACATATTTCTTACGTAGACGTAGTGTATTCAAAGAAATTTAAGAGTAATGATTTCAAGATTCGAATCCAAAAGAGAAAAAAGAACAAACATCCTTAAGCTAATTATAAAAACAGAATTGACTACCACAAGGGCATCGGGGATTTTATTCAGCAATGTAAGGCAGATATCTTGATTCTGGTGTCTTAACTCTTCAAGGCAGAGAGGAGATGAGAAATCTTGAGTCTCCGGAGAAAAGGAAAAAAAAAAAGAAAGCTCCTCTTCTGAATTAAGAGTTTGAACCTAAAGCCTCTCAGTAGGAATCCCAAATCTTAACCATTGGGGCGTCTCTTTGGGGACCTTGTAACTACTGACTCGTATACATAGCTAGAAAGAATAACCATTGAAATCCATTGGTCATAGAGACTAAAGCTGAGATCAAAGGGCCATTGGTATGCAATGAGCGGTCAAGACAACAGTACAGGATGATCATGGATTTCCACTCAGGTATCGGGCCATAATTTATTCTTACCAATATTATAGTCCCAAGCCCAGCCACTAACAAAATCTTTCCACTATTAGTAGTATTAACTAGGTTTTTTACTGCTCCCTTGTCCCAAAAAAACAAATTGTCCCAATTTCTATATATATGTTTATTTCAAAATATTTATAGTATGTTATGAAATAATAAATGAATGTCTATATATCATTCATGTAATAAATAAAAATACCTGAATGTACCATTCATATTCTATTTTTTAATTTAATTCACCATTATTATGTATTTATTTTTTATTAAATCTCTAATCTAGAATTTTGTGAATTCTCTTTCGTAATTCAATTCACCATTATTATGTATTTATTTTTTTTATTAAATCTCTAATCTAAAATTTTGTGTAACATTCATGTATAAATAAGTGTGTTGAGTGAAGAAAAAACGGAATTTCTATTATCTTTCTCGTCCAACATCTTTTTCACTAATTCTTTACTATTATTATTACTTTCTTTTATTGTTATTATTAACTTTATAAAACGTATCGGTATGAAACTCTAACCAATTGAGATAATAGATTATGATGTATGCATTTACTAAAAAACGTAATCATTATTTTCAATTATTGGATTGTTTTTTTATATGAGTGCTCTACTTGCTCTCTCAAAAAATTTAAATTATCTAGATCGTTAAGAGGTATGTATTTAATTTATTATTTACTTTAGATCTACTTATACATAGAATATATATTTGAAAAACTTGAATGATCTAATGTACATTATTTGAAAAGTTTAATTTTTATTATTATGTTTGTTCTTATTTTCTAACATTATTATTATATCTTGCACAATTGAATTTTATCATACTAAACCTCATAAAGCTTGATTTTGTGGCCCTTGACATTTCGGATAAGAATTTTTTATCATGAGTGATTGATACTAAGAAAATATTCTTTACTTTTCATACATCGATATGCTCTTGCAATGACAATATCGAGAAAGAGCTTTAGAAAATATTCTGAATTAATTTCCTATTTGCTTGTGGATAAACAAAATAACAAGTTATTGATGAAAAAATTATGAATCTCATCCAACTTACTCTACTCTACTTTCTAGAGTGAAAATGACAACTTCGATAATTCGAGGGTGGACATGATCTTGGCCATAACCATTATTATGGTTAGAATAATTATCGTTATAATTATAGTGGTCAAAATAATACACCTTACCGCTAGATGTTGACAAACTATAATGGTCATAATAATATATTTTACCACCAAAAGTAGACAAACTATGAAGAAAAATATAAAAATAGATCAAGCCGATATTCTAAAAATGAATGTTACTAGTATGATATAAAGGGACATTGGTCATGTACTCGTAGTACTTCGAAGCACCTTGTTGAACTTTATCAAGCCTTATTAAAAAAGAAAGATAAAAATATAGAAGTAAATTTTATATATCAAAATAATATTTTTGACCATAAATGAATGTCTATGTACCATTCATGTAATAAATATATATAAATGAATGCACCATTTTGTTTTGTAATTCAATTCATCATTATCATACATGTATGTATTTATACCATAAAAGCATGAACTATACACTTTTTAATGTTTATGGTATGTTTTTTCAAAAGTGCATGAAAAATATATGAACTATGCTTCGATAATAATTTTAGCATGGGAGCCTTTTTTCGTCTAAGATTCCAAGTTCATCTAACATGGCATTACACGTAAAATGACAACTTGGATGGAAGTTCACATAGGATGACACGTGCCAAAAAATAAAATTTCCTTCTAATGGACAACATGTCACACATTAATTCTATCCGATTTCAAAACAAATTCCTCATAATACAAACCTAAATCAATTCATAAAAATCCATAATCTTCCGTTCTTCTCTCCCCGATGAACAAGAAGCCATTTCTCTCCTCCCATGAATCTTTCAGGTAGTACCCATTCCTCTCCTCCATAAATCTTCAACTAGTACCCATTTCTCTCGCTCATGAATCTTCAACCAGTACCCATTTCTTCTAACAAGATGGTCATTTGCTCTCGAATCAATTTATAAAATCCTCATGCCACTTATGACCGATTACAAAAGGAAGACTCCAAAACCTTCAACCAAATATTTTGATTGCTTTTCCAATGGGGCTAATCGCCTAGTTCTTCCTCTCATTCTTTATATACTAACAATCTTCGACTTTGGAAACCGGTCATGAACTGGGCCTTCAGTTTCTAACTCATGAGTCGTTAGCAGTAGTAAGAGAGCCCGACTTCTTTGAATGGGTGAGAGGAATCATAAGAAGAATTTATGAATATCCGGAGCTAGGATTTAAAGAGTATAGAACAATTGTGATAATAAGATCCGAGCTTGATTTGATTGGAATTGACTACAAATGGCACGTTGCCAAGACTAGTGTAGTAGCTACCATTGGTTTCTATTAAAAGCTAGTTTCTTCTACAATCCTCTTCAACAAAACCCTATACATAAGCATTGACTATGTTAAGGAAAAGAGATGAGATACAAAAATTTCCATATCAATGTTTTTCTTTTTCTTATTTATATCAAAATTAATCTCCTCTCGAGCTTCCAAGTAATACCTTCCAAGGATGGTTACACGTCATCCGGACCATATTCCTAGAAATTATGTAATTGTAGGTGTGAGTTTTGCTTTTGGAATTTTGTGAGAAGAAATGGGTACTCGGTTGATGATTTGTGACGAAGAGAAATGGGTACAAGTTGAAGATTTATGGGGGAGATGAATGGGTACGCTTGAAGATTCATAGAGGAGAGGAATGGGTTCTTGTTCATTGGATCGAGAAGAGAAAAAATTATGGATTTTTATGGATTGATTGAGGTTTGTATTGTGAGAAATTTTTTTTTGAAATCAAATAAAATTAATGGGTGACATGTCATCCATTAGAAGAAAATTTTAATTTTTCGTCATGTGTCATCCTACGTGAATTTCCATCCAAGGTGTCATCTTACATGTAATGCATTATCGGATAAACTCGAAATCTTGGATAAAAAATGGCTTCCATGCTAAAATTGTCATTAGAAGCATAGTTCATGTATTTTTTATACACTTTTAAAAGAACATGCCGGAAAGATTAAAATGTGTATAGTTCATGTTTTTATAGTACAATCAATCTTTTTTTATTATTAAATCTTTAATTTAGAATTTTGTGTAGCATTCACGTATAAATAGGTGTGTTGAATAAAGAAAGATAGAATTTATTTTTCTATATATTTCTCCC